AACTTAAGCGGGAAAAATGGGTGGCGAAAATTCTTGGCGCCTAACCTCATTTAATGCACAATGAATTTTTATTTTGTTTTTAATTTTTTTTTATGAAATTTTTATTACTTTATCATTGATGGTATCACAACCATTATACAGGTTAATATGAAAAGGACGCCGGAGAAGATGAACAGAGTGGGTGAAGATTACGGTATCCAACGCCGACAATTATTTCTTTGATGAAGTTATCAGAATTTTCTATTCGTGAGCATGTTTAGTGGACAAAAAAAATTCGATTTTGGACAATCAAAAATCCACCATGATCGATTTATTTCAAACATTTCTTTAATTTAATTAAAAATATTTCACTACACTTATCTATCTCGCTTTTGCAACTAAACAATTGATGGATAACGATTAAATTCCAGTATATGATATCAATTAGATAAAATATACATTATATTGAAATAATGTCATTCATTTCTGGTATTAAGATTTCTACTAATTTCCAAACTGGATTCTGAACTTGAACGGGTAATTAATTTTCAGTCACTGCAACTTTCATGGCTGAAACATAGATACATATATATTTACTAACAAGAACAATTGTTTAAGTAAAATCATATTTTTCCACTGATCATGTACAAATTCAAATGTGTTAAATTGTCTAATCAATTACTAATTAAATCAGTAACAAATCCTATACGTACCGACCTTTATTAAGAAAAAAGTAACTATTTATATTAGCGTATACTAAGTATACTTAAAATAATTAACTATTTATATTAACAATTTGCACAGTATACCCTGAAACCCCGAATACAAATGGCTTGCTAGGTTATTTTATAATTAAAAATAAATAAAACTAATCAAATAGTTGTTGTTACTATATAATAAAATAATAATAATAATAATAATAATATAGCTAGAGGAGTAGGGGCCTAGATTGTATATCGGCTTACCACTAATTTATTGTAGGTTGTATGAAATTTTGTTTTTGAGATATAATAATAATAATAATAATAATAATAATAATAATAATAATAATAATAATAATAATAATAATAATAATATCTTTTAAAAAATAAACATATTTTTAATTCAGTTTAGTTTAATTCGGTTTTTAATATAATTCTATAAAAAAAATTACTTTAGTATAGTAAATCAAAACAGACCATTACAAAAATTCTATTCGATTAGTGCAAATGTATTTCGTATGGGACTTCCCCGACAGATCCAGAGCTAGGTAGTTATATAGTAATAATAACAAATGTTTAACAAAAATCATATCATTTGATTGACAGTGTAAAAATTAAAACGTCCTAGATACAACCTTCATATTATTCATTTCATATTTATTTTCTAATTCATTTAGTAAATTTACCTATGCCGACCTATATTATGTACAAATTAACCATTTAGTAACCACTTATACATATACATAACACTAAAAGTTATTATCTCTTAAGTATAATAAAATAAATTGCAATGTATTGGTTGTTTTACGAATGTATAATAAAACTTCACTTATATACATTGATAATATCGTGTCTTTAAATTATAATTTATTACATTTTGTTAGATGCCATCGAGGAAAAAGGAGGTGGTTAGGAGAGGCTAAAATTAAAAAGAAAAAATGAAAATGTTGAATTAAAGAAGGGAGCTGAAGATAAAGTATAAGTTAAATGAAAGACTTAAAAGAACACGTGTGAAGTTGTAATGGGATGGGAACATGTGCCGTTACTAGTTATATTTTTTGAATACTTTCAGATTTAGATAGATTAGATTTATAAATTTGATTTTGTCAAATTATTAATACTTAACATTTGATTGCAAAGGTTTAGAGAACCCCATTGAGAACATGTGTGAAGTTGTAGTTGATTTTATCAACTTACATATTATTTTGGTAACGGGGTACAAACTTATAGTATCAGTAAATACTAATGTGAACAATGTTTTAAGTTTTAGTTGGTCTTATAACTATCTTTAATATTTTATAACTAACATGAATATAAAATATGAGTCATAAACTATTAACAAAAACGTTATTATTGTATCCTAAACTATCTTATCTTATCACTTCATAGTTAAGACACCATTGATGTTCGGACAACTCCCATAATAATAGGTTCAAACAAAATTATCTAAACGACAAAAAACTAGATCATTCAGCGCATACCTTATTGAAAACCTACGTTGCTTCATAATTCAGATAAAATTTGTTACGTACATCGTTACTTTGAATTTAGTTTAAAATTTCATTACGAATGAACAATTTCAAATGTGTTAAATGTTTTTTAGATATAAAGACCATACGTACATCTCTCATTATATGATTGCTCTAAAAGCATTTATTGATTATATGTATAATTCAAAACACTACAATTCGCACATGCTAGTAAATACAAAAAATTCTAGTAACCTCAACATATTAATTGATATTCACACTTCATAAATTTATAATTTATAAATTAATACATTAATTTAAATAATAAATCTTCCCAATTTGTTTTTTTGTACTTACAAGAAACATATGAGTTGATTGTACATATTTTTCGTATGTGATGTTCCCGAATGATCCAAAAATACTTATTTATTTAGTACCTATAATCATATTATTTTAACTAGAATATGTACGGAATTGTAATTGATCGCTTATTATTATTATTATAAAAACACATAATTGTATTATATTACAAATGAGTCCTATTTACATGTTACAATAGTAAAAAAAACAACTTATAAATACATATGCATGACATAACATATCTCAATATATAATGATAATAATAAATTAACACAAATAATATTAACAATATATCATAATTAATATAAATAATTAACCAAAGAAATCTATATACAATTGCACTTAATTATTTTTGTCCATCATTACTGTCGGAATTCGATTCTTCATCACTACATGGATCGAAGTTGTTTGGTCTTTTAATATATGGTGGAATACACCAATTAAGGATGACCCATGGAGTGCCTCCAATTGAGTATAGCCCTTCCCCATTCCATACAAACTACCATACACTTTGCAAGATCTTTTTTGCATAATTTCAAGCATATATGGTGCATAATAGATTCATCCCCTACGAAAGGCGCTAATCCATTTTCATCATTTGGTATAATATCATGCATGTCACATAATTGAAAGAATAAAACTTTTTACTTCGGTGATGCACCAATCGAAACCAACTTCCTCATTATTTTGATCCTCCTTTGACAACAACATTTAACCATATTTTTAGCAGACTCATTTCAAATGTTTGATTTAAAGGTTCATAAGCCAAAGTAATTCAAGAAGGTGATCTCATATACTGTCATATTTTACAATAAAAGTTTTGTTTATTTTGTTTTTTAAAATGGAAAATTGTTACTAGTATAACAACTAATTATATGAACACGATGTACATTATTATTGTTACATTATAGAAACATCCAATTTAGATTATTTTCGCTCATCTTTAGAACCCTCCATTCTTACTAATCAATCCTCAAAATTGTTAAAAATAAAAAGAATGTTTCTATAATGTTACAACTGTATGGTACCATATATATATAAACTGTTGTCAATTATGTAAATAGGTTACGGTTGGCAATTACGTTAATATGTAACGATTGGTGAACACTTCACTTATGGTATTTCTTACATAATAGTCTAGTAACCGTATAGTATTAATTTAAATTCGCAGTTCACTATTATAATTTGTAAATCAATTCATTTATTTAAAATTAAATATTTAAGACAATTTTTTGAAAAAAAAAAATCTCTCCAACCCCAAGTATGTAATTACAAAAAACATATTCATTGATTGTAAATATTATTCGTTTGCGACTATCCTGGCTTATACAAGAGTATTTATTTATTTAGTAACTATTAGAATCGCTTTATAAAATCATACTTCATTTTCTGGTAAATAGAACATGTACGGTCCGTTTACCTATTGATGTTTTTAAGATAATATTTATTGTCTTAACAAAGGTCCATATTTTAGTGTCAATAGTTTTTAGTTTAAGTTGGTGTTTAAAGTTAAAACAGATTGTAAAAAACAAAATTAGATCTAGATATCCGATGTTAAAATAAAAGTTCAAATAGAATTTATTAAGTACATGGATTAAAAGTTTAACTAAAACTACATATTAATGTTGCATTACAAATGAAACCTTTAGTTTAAATATATATATATATATATATATATATATAATTGGTAAATTAAATAGTAACGGAACAAAATTTATTGGTATTTCCTTTGTCTTTTTTATATCCGCTTGATAAAAAGCAAAAATACACTTATACAATGGTAATGTAATAAGATGTTTCAACCAACCTAGATAAATAAAAATTGTTGTAGTTTTTTATTATTATTTTTTTTAAAAAAAAAATCACCTGTTGTATGGTACTCCGTATATACATATAAATGGTGATGCAATGGTTGGCTATTATGTAAATAGGTACTTGGTGGTGACCAATTCACATATGCGATGAAATACTATATTTTAAAGTAATTACATTCTAGTATTTTAAAAATAAAGATGTATAATATTTCATTTCTTTTAGGTGATTTTAAATTTTTCACACATTAAAAATATATTATTTGAAATATGATCATAAATATTTTAGATACATTATGTATATAATGTATATAACATTATTGTATTAAAATAAAATAAAACACTCGTCTACTAATTGTTTTGCTTACATAATCTATTGATATATTGAAACTTATTAATAAATCAAAATAAGATATAAATATAATTAGTTACTTCATTCCAAGTATTTCTAACAAACAATCAACATGTTACCAAACAATTATGTTACTAGAATTGAAATACTCCAATCACCATTCAACAAAATATTACTAATATAAAATGTTACTGGTGAAAAAATGGTAGCAAAATATGTTACCGAAAAAAAGAAGCTTCAGTCATCAATTTGATTTCATACAAAATAAAAATAAGTTCAGGAAACTCCCTAAGTACCAACAGGGTCCAATGAAATTGTAAGAGCATATCTATTGTTGAGTACTACGTAACCAATATGGATCCCTCTCATTAATAGGAACCGAAAACTCTGGATTGTATCCAGACTGCTCAGACTGGTCAATATTCATTGTTGGTTGTGATCCATACGACATTGCGTTGCTGTCTCTGATAATGGACGAACTACCTTCTCTTGCCACTATGTTGGTGTTGTTGCTAATTCCACCAACGTTAGGGATTCCACTGATGTTGCTGTATGGAGCCGTTCCATGCCACCTCCCATTTAATGTCCCAAATGAGTTTCTTATTATTTCCTTTGCAGTGAAATAACGGGATGGATTAGCGAATACTAATTACAATAATAATAATAATAATAATAATAATAATAATAATAATAATAATAATAATAATAATAATAATAATAATAATAATAATAATAATAATAATAATAATAATAATAATAATAATAATAATAATAATAATAATAATAATAATAATAATAATAAAAGAATTAATAGTAATACAGTAGCAGAAATAGAAGTAAATTAAATTGGTTTTTAATTGCAATAATAATATGTTAACAGAAAAAACAAACAAATTACTGCATTAGAAGTAATATTTCAATGCTTTTGATATACTAATTTTTACAAGAAATACACTTTTTAAAATAGAATTTCAAGTAAAACAGACGAGTTTATGTACTAAATCAGACTTACAGTCTGTGGTTACTAATATTATTACTTACTATAAGCCAATGTTACCAATATATTATCTTTCGTTATAATAGTAATATGTAAAATATATACGTAATTGTTTTTAATAGAATAATAGTCAAATTCACTAGGTTACCTCGTTATGAGCAATTTCTTCTGGAGTATATTTAAACTTTTTCTTCAACTTTCCTTTCTCTGCTGGGTTAGGGATTCGGGTATTTTTACCCCTTCCAGCTTTTCTCTTATCAACAGGGTCCTTTGTGCCATCTTCAACGGGTACTACACTTTTTTTTAAGTGCCTTTTGTTTTGTTCCCTTGGACGTACCCTTCGACGGCCAAATACTTTGCATGAAGATTCATCCCACCAGCACTGTGCATCATTATCTTTATGCTCAATACCCATTGAATCCTCCAACTCAATTCTAATCTTATCTGTCACTTCCTTATACATAGCAAATGTAGTGTCGTTGTGCAAGGCTAGTGTGCTCAGGTATTTGTTTCTAAGGCTTATTTATTTTACCTTTTGAACTCGATTAGAGTCGAGGTCATAGTATGCTACATGAATGCCCTCGTATCGCCTCACAACATCCTTCCTCCAGCAATTTAAAATATATTTCTCTGGGATTTGAGCAATATCCTCTAACTCTATTATTCGAATGATATGCTTACACAATATTCCCCTAAATTCAAACAACTTACATGAGCATGAGAAATCACCTTTTTCTTTGTAAATTGTCAGCGTGTAACTCTTCCACCTCTTCCTAGCTATGGGGGTCGGAATCTTCTCATCAGCTTTGTAAAAGGTGGTTGAACCAAGCGTTGAGGTCTTATTGATGTATGTATGCCGCAACCCTAGGCACTCATCTTTTACTTCTCTGAACTTTGCATTGGTGTACTTGCTGTGGAAAATGTACTTGGCAAGTATAGTCTTGTCCACCGGAAGGGGTTTATCCGATGATGCAAAATTCAACAATTGCTCCTTATAAGTTAAGTCCCCCATGGCAGCCTCATAAAGCTCAACAAATCCAGCCAACGGGGTATCAATGTTGATAGAGGCTTTTAAAAAAATTATTCATGCCTTCACTTCTCTGGGTGGAAGACATTTCAGCCCAATAATTGTCTCGACAATACCCATGGGCCCACCTATCCTTCAATTTATAGGATTCCTGTATCCAAGTATTGCTACCGATCTGAAAATTATTTACCATTGCAGCCCATGCTTCGTCGAATTCATCCTGGTCTAGACACTCATGGACAACTTCTCTCAGTGCTACCTCAATTTCTTTCCATTTTTTGTGCGATCCAAAATTATGTGCACTATTTTTCATAATATGCCACAAGCATAGCCTGTGTGGTATCCTCGGGATTACTACACGCACATCCTTCCCTATTGCTTTGTCTTGATCAGTGAGAATGCCTATCGGTTTCTTACCCATACACTTGACCCATTCATTGAATACCCACACAAAGGTGACAGTGTCCTCGTGTGAAATCAAAGCACAAGCAAGTACAATTGAACTTCCATGATGGTTGACAGCGACGAACGGTGCCAAAGGCATTTCATATCTGAAATGTTATGTTCATGTTATATATCTAATAATTATATTAAATTTACAGTCACTGACTAAAAAGAATCCTTGCAAATAATTAAGTTCATCACCGAATGGTACATTTAAACCATTTTATGTTATCAATGAAATATCTATTCTAAACTTAAGATAATCGCCCTAGCCTTGTTATTACTGTTATAATGATTATGGTTACTATAAAACAATGTAATAAATAGTTAAGTAACCTAACCTGTTGGTTTGAAACGTTGTGTCGAACGTTATTATATCGCCAAAATCTTCACACATTGCCCTACACCTTGCATCCGACCAAAACATATTCATCAACCTTCCATCGCAGTCCCTCTGGATTTCGCTGTAAAACTCATTATTAAGCTCATGCTGCTTCTGAATTGAAAGTATGCTTCTAAGGCAATTGCATCTCCTTGAAACCTTGTTTTACGACGCTCTAAGTTCACTACATTTCGCAAGTCCCGTTGATTGAATGTCATATTTTCATGACCCTCATTTTCAACTAAAAAGGAATTGAAGTTTTTCACGATCGATATACCAGCACGATCATTAGTCACAATTCTATCAACATTTGGGTCATCGATGCTTCTGTAATTAACCATTAGATGGCTACTTTCCGGATGAAGTCTATGGTCGTGGTTCAATTGAAATGTTGAGATTCTCATCTGACCATTTACCATATACCCGTGCACAAACACTTTACATTCACTTACAAAATATCCCGCGGTTTTTTTTCTATCACCTTTCGCACAGACAAGTCTTAGTTGTTTCATCATGTGGTTGGATGTCTGATTTTTCCCCCCATCTTCCTTATTGATTCCTTGCCACTTGTTGCAATCCATCAATGTGGTTGTTGTTACGAAAAAAGTAAACCCTTTTTTGTATGCATATTTATAACAAAAATTGGCAAATTCTTCCCCTGACGGAAAGCACATTCTGACTGCTGGCTCATCTATTTGGTCATGATGTCCTTCATTGTCATTGTCATTATCATTATGTTGTTGGTCATTTTTTTCTTCATCGTCATGATCAATATCTTGTTGCTGAAAGTTCTCTATTTCGTTATCTTGAGAGAGGTTGTCTACATCCACATCTGCCTCATCAACGATGACTTGTTCTTCTACATCTTGGTTAAGATCTACGTCTACATCTTGGTTAAGATCTATGTCTAGGTTGTTGTCCATATCACTGCATTTTCATATAATTAATATATCAAATAGGATTGCAATATTATTAATAAAACTTTCATATAATTGCAATTTCATCGTGTGGTCTTTGTTGAATACATAAGTGAAGCTTCATTATTAGTTATATATTTAGTATCGTAAACGTTTTATTTTGTAATGACTTCTAGTACCTATATTAATCATCATATGGTCTCGTAACATAATTAATAGTTATTTTTATTTAGTATGAATACAGTTTTTATTATGTACAAACTTCTAGTAGCTTTATTCATGTATTGAATTCTCACCTATGTAGTTTTACAATATGGTAGAAATGTCAAATACTTTTGTTTTGGCAGTACTACATCATTATTAGTTATATATTTAGTATCGTAAACGTTTTATTTTGTAATGACTTCCAGTACCTATATTAATCATCATATGGTCTACGTAACATAATTGTTAGTTATTTATTTAGTATCAATACAATTTTTATTACGTACAGACTTCTAGTAGCTTTATTCATGTATTGAATTCTTACCTACGTAGTTTTACAATATGGTAGAAATGTCAAATACTTTTGTTTTGGCAGTACTGCAATAGTTCAATCTATTACAAAGAAATTTTGTTTGTTACTAGTTTTAATGTGAAACAAGTTTGTACCTAGCCCCATACCAGTTATGTTAGTAGAATTTTTGAATCAATTTATAACATATGATAATTCACAAATTTATTTAAAATTATTCAATTAGACTTGCAGCAACCATTTTACCCAAACCCTATATACAACAGTTTTAATGTTTTGTCAAATTAATTGTCAAAGAAGATAAACATTGTATAAAATATGAAAACTCAAATATAGTGATAATGCATTGTTGTTCAAAATATATCAATAGAAACTACGACATACCTAATTCGAAGAAATTCAATTGTAGTGATAATGCATTGTTGTTCAAAATATATATATACAAATGAAGACTTTTCAATTTAATTTTTATTGTAGAATGAAGTTCAATATGTCAATATAGGATACTAGTCTATTAAGGATTTGTGAAGAAATAATACAAATATTATAAATTAATACTCTGTGAAATAGAAAGTTGCTTTGACAAGTAAACTGACTCTCTTAACTGTTTGAAGGTGATCCGTCAAAAAAATTTTACTGTTAACTTCATTATTTTTTCCCAAGTATGACACTATGAAATCTTACACTAAATGATCTTTTAAATAGCCAAAGACTTATCATTGCTAAATTATCCATTGTGTTTATAACTTATTTCATGAATATGATCTTCTGTTACTAATAAAGAAAGTTATATATTCAATAATTTTTCAGACACATATCTAACGTTACTAATTAATTTACTAACAAAATGAACAAACATAGGTTTGTGTGTGTGGGGGGTTGTAATAATAATAATAATATTATCAATAATACTAATAATAATAATAATAATAATAATAATAATAATAATAATAATAATAATAATAATAATAATAATAATAATAATAATAATAATAATAATAATAGATGAAGAAGATGAAAAAGAAAAATCATCACAATAACAAGTAT